CTGTGTGAAAGTCAGAGGACAACTTAACAGATGTCATTTCTCATCTTCTACCATGGGGTTCCCAGGCACTCAGACCTTCCAACGTTTATCTGCTGAGCCATGTCAGCAGCCCAAGATTGAGGTTTTATAAACTTATAACTTGCATGTGAATATTAAGTTAATCTAGGACCATTTTTTAAAAAGTTAATTATACACCTTTGTTGAGAAACAATTATTCTGTAGATTCATTACTGAATATCAGATATTCTCTGTGAATGTACGTTTCTAACGTTTTGCCAGTAACACATTGACTTGATTAGTGATGGTATACCAAGTCTTGAAATCACTTGTTTGGTTATTCACTGACCTTTGAATTTATGTGCAAATTTTAGAATTAGAAACCTACTGAGAATTACCACTGGAATTCCATTAATTATATAAGTAGGTCAATTTAGAGATTTTACTCTTCCACCCATAAACAGGATTTAGCTCTCTTCTGCCGACTCTCAGGATATTTCCTGTTTTTTAATGTTGAGATAGTTCATGCACACATTTTGGTAAATATTTTTAAAGATTTTATTTTTAGGTGATTAATATTAACCCTGTTTTGTTTATCTGTTTGCTTTCTGTTTAGTTGGGGTTTTGTTTGTTTTGGGGTTTGGGGAGGCATTGCTTGGGTTTGGGGATTATTTTTGGTTGACTTGGTTTTGGTGTTTCACCCAAGCTGACGCAGAAGTCACTGTATAAGCCCAACCTCCCCTCAAGGTTGTGGCAATCCTCCTGTATCAGTATCCTGAGTACTAGCATTATATGGATGAAGCGCCAGGCCTGGTTGGTAAATGGGATTTTAAGGTGATCATTTTCTAAGGTTTGTTGCAAGTATATAGGAGGGTAGTTAATTTGTAAATATTGACTTCCCACTTGACAGCCTTGACTTACTAGTTTTACTAGTTATTTGTCAGATTCCTTGATATTTCCTATGTAAGTGATAGTCTTCTAATATATATAACTTTCAGTTTTCACATCTTATTGTATGACACTGTACAATATGAATTAGGACTAGTGAGAGTACACATACTTTGATTATTCCAATCTCAGAAAAAATGCATTTCATTTGCCATTAAGTATCATATTATCTATAGGTTTTTGTAGATCTCGTTTATTGTGTTAGACATTTAATTTCATTCCCATTGCCTGCAACTTTTGCCTAATCTAATAATTGTATAATCTTGTCTTTTGAATCTATTATTGTGGTACATGGATTCTTCTAATCAGATAAAACTCACTTAATCTTACTATATTATATTTGTTTTTGTTATGGGTTTCCTTTTATAGTCTTTATGTAATGTGTTTGTGAGACTTGCTAGTCCGTGTCTTTCTTTCCATAATATCTTGATCTGGTTCTGGTGATGGATTTACTCTTGTATCAAGATGGATTTGGAAGTGTTTCTCTCCACCCTGTCATGTGTTTCTGGAACCACATGTTTGGATCGATATTTAAATGTACATAATGATATGTATCTTTTTAGCCTTTCTCTCATTTGGATGTCCAAATAATAATGTCCAGTGAGTTTTTTCTTTTCACTTTTTCGTGCACTTGTTAAATGTTAGAAACTGTTTTTACAAATATTGAATTTACTAGTAAAATTTCCTATGCCCAAAGTGAATTTTAGATAGTTTTAAATATGAACTTAATATTGTTTCCTATTTTACCATATTTGATAACTTGACAACTTAAAATGATTTTGTCCAATTTTTGGAATTGTAAAAATTTTACTATAAAATTATTCAAAGTATTTCTTCTAATATTTTCAATATGAATAATTTCTTTAGTGGAATCCCCCTATGTCATTTCCAATTTAGACAATTTGTGGCTGATTACTTTTTGTTCTTTATTAGCCTAGTCAAAAGATTACCAGGTCCTTGACCTTATCATAAAATCACATTTTGATGTACTGATTTTTCCCTCCAATATTGGTAAACAGTTTTCCTATGTTTCTGTCCTTGAAGCTTGGCCCATACATAATCCTGGTCTTTTTGTGTTCTTAATGATGCTTTACCTGATCCCCCAAACTCCTCATAAGTTGTTTGATAATATATCAAATATAATTATTTAGGTTAAAATCTTTCCCAATTTCCCTTTTCACACATTTTTGATCCACAATTAAATAGTTAGAAAGATGTGCTTTGATTTCCCTGTTTCCAGTCTTTATGGATCATATTGTCATTGAATTCTAGTTTATTTCACTGTAGCCTGAGGCTATCAGGGAAGATATGCTGAAGTCTTTCAAGACTTGGTTTCTGTGTTAGCATGTTGTGTGGTGATATTGTGTTCCCCAAAATATTGTGCACCCTAATAAACTTATCTGAGGTCAAAGAACAGAACAGCCACTAGATACAGAGGCCAGAAAATGGTGGCACACACGCCTTTAATCCTAGCATTCCAGAGGCAGACATCCATCTGGATCTCTGTGAATTCAAAGCCACACTGGAAACAGCTAGGCGTGGTAACAAGAGCCTTTAATCCCAGGAAGTGATGACAGGAAGCAGAAAGGTATTTAAGGAGTGAGGATGAAGAACTAAAGCCTGGTTACGCTTTTAGACTTTTGAGCAACAGTTCAACTGAGATTCATTCTGGATGAGGACTCAGAGGCTTCCAGTCTGAGGAAACAAGATCAGCTTAGGAATTGGTGAGGTGAGGTGGCTGTGGCTTGTTCTGCTTCTCTGATCTTCCAGTATTCACCCCAATACCAGGGCCTGGGTTTGTTTTTATTAATAAGACCTTTTAAGATTCATGCTACAATGTTGTCTGATCAATCTGAAGTTCACATCTTACCACCTACCTCAATCTGAAAAGGATATAATACTGCCAAACCTAATGGAAGTCAAGGGCATTCTTAGGTTAAAAGACCCCAACCCCTGAAATCCTGCACATTCCACGTGCAGTATCTTTCTTAATGAAACTCTGCTGTAGTTGCTGCTAACTTTGTGTCACTTTGCAATGACTTCCGGTATCTGTTTTGTTAGTGGCACATTATCCACAGTTCACAGTTAGAGCTGCAGGTTGTTTTGCATACTGCCTTCTTGGTAACACTGCTACAAGTTCAAACTTCAGGAAAACACTGCTGTTTTCAGTAATATAATTTTTAAGGATATTAGCAACAACTTTCCAATGTAGAAATTCAGTTAACATTTGTCGAGGAAATTAATAATGACTACTCTTGATTTACACAATAAATAGTTACTTATATTTCTTGTCCTTCTGTGCTCTAGTAGTTAAAGGAAGAAAAACTGAATTGTAAATGTGGCCATGTGTCAGGAGAATAAAGATTGGCTGAAGTTACATTCATTTTGTAGGGAAGTCACAAAAGTATTACACATTTTGGCTTAAAAAAAAAAATGAAGCCAGGCAGCAGTGGCGCATGCCTTTAATCCCAGCACTCAGGAGGCAGAGCCAGACGGATCTCTGTGAGTTTGAGGCCAGCCTGGTCTACAAAGTGAGATCCAGGACAGGCACCCAAAAAAAAAAAAGAATAAATCTCCCAAATCTTCATTTAATTGTTAAAAAGTCAGAAAGAAGGAAGGATAAAGGAATAATAAAAGTGAAAGGATCCGTTAGTGGGAAAGTAGTCAGTACCAATTTATAAACTATCAAATTAGTCCTTTAAATTATTGTTAAATTCTGAGTTCAGAACCAGAATGATTTATTGTGTAAATCAAGAGTAGTCATTATTAATTTCCTCGACAAATGTTAACTGAATTTCTACATTGGAAAGTTGTTGCTAATATCCTTAAAAATTATATTACTGAAAACAGCAGTGTTTTCCTGAAGTTTGAACTTGTAGCAGTGTTACCAAGAAGGCAGTATGCTTAGTGTTTACTGATTAAAATAAACTTTAATGATCAGGATATATACATTAAGTACTTAATTATTTTGCTGTGAAAGAAATAAGTGTGTCTACAGGATGTGTTGGGTAATGCTGGCTTTTTCAGAAATATGATGACTGGGCCAGCAAGATGTCTCTTACCTGGAAGCCTGAAAACCTGAGTTCAATCCCCTTGCCCCCATGATAAAGAGAACGGGCTCCTCAAATTGTCTCCTGACCTCCACATGCATGCCGAGGCACACATACATAAATGCACTCGAACACAAAATAACTAAACAAAACATAATTTAAAAAATTAGGGAAGTGCAGTGCCTGGGAAATTGAACCGTCAAAGGATAGTTGCATCACGTGATAATCATACATCGGACTGGCAAAATGGTTTAGCAGGTAAAGGCAGTTAATGTGAGATTCTGGCAACCTGAGTTCAATTCCAGATCCCATGTAAAAGTGAAAGGAAAGGACTGAGCCACAAAGGTATCCTCTGTCCTACACACACTTCATGGCATGTTCGCCCCAAATACACATAATGCATGCATACACACACAAAGTAACTATACATGTGTGTGTGTGCATATGTATTTATCTGACCTTAGGTTCATGGGACATCTAGGCAGGTAAAGGTTCTTGTCATCAATCTTGACAACCTGGATCCAATCCCTGAGACCACCATGATAGAAGAGAACCAACTCCTACAGGTTGTCCTCTGACCTCCAGCTGTATCCTGTGTCATGTACACCTACATATAAATATTATAAATTTTCAAATCTGATTGAAACAGAGCAAGGGGAGTTATATGAGGGGAGGAGAAGTGATGTAATTATATTATCTAAAACAATAAATAATTTAAAACAATTTAAATCTGAACTCTAAAGCATACATAACCCTGTAAAGTTTTTGGTTTTCAGAGTGGTATAGTGGTTGGAGAATGATCTTTGGAATAAGGAAATCTGTATTATGAAATCTGTGTTTTGATTCTCTTAGTCTCACTGTTCATTTGGAAAACATAATCTATTCCCTCACATCACATACTTGTTTTAAAGAGGAAAAAATGTAAAAAATATGTATAATTATACAGGATTCTAATGTATTTTATTTATTTATTTATTTATTTATTTATTTATTTATTTATTGCAGAAGAAGATAAATACAATACTTATTCGCCTTTGCTCTTCAAGTATTTCCTGGCAGAAGGAATCGTCAATGGGCATACTCTGTTGGTTGCATCTGCCAAAGAAAAGCCTGCTGACATTTTACAGGTATAGAATATAGTAATTCAACATACATTTTGAATGCTTCATGAAAAGGAATTATATACAAGCAAGACATGTACTTACAAATTATATTTATATACATTAATGGGAGCTTTTGTTTTTCTGAGTCAGGGCCTCACTCTAGATTGTGGCTGACTTCAAACTAACAGCAGCCCTGCCTCAGTGTCTGGAATTCTGGAATTACAGTCCTGCATCACCATGCCTGACTCTTTTTCTCATGGTTTGGTTTTAGTCTTACTATGTAACCCAAGTTAGCTTTGAACTTAGAACTTGCTCTCTCACCAACTTGAGTGCTGGTATTGCAGACACTCATTACCACATCAGGCCATATGTCAGGGTGGGAGGTGGGTTGTTGTTGTTTTGTCTAAATGAAAATAATCATTTTTTTTTAGCAGAGTTTTGTTTTAAATTAGTGTTATTAGAGAGTTTTCTTTTAATCAGAAGTAAAAGAAAATTAATAAACTATTTAAAACTGAATACAAATTATTGGACCAGACATTAATCATGTTTAATAGCAAAACAACAACAAAACCTCAGTTTATATTGCTTACTGAAAACAGAAGGAACATACTCTCTTCTTTTACTTCTAATTAACTTTCTCAGTTGGACAAAAGTCATCTTTTTTTCATCCTAACTACTACTATGCTTAGGCAGATTTCCAGAACCAACCCTTACTTTCCTGCTTCTACAATATGAACTAACTTGTAAGAATTCTGCAAAACAATGTCACCATATTGATTTTCACTTCTTAAATAAAAGTATAAAAAATAAGTACAATGTGGTAAAGCAAATAAATAAAAATGTATTTTGTATTCTGTTGTTTTTACTACTTTATGTTTTTCATTTGTTTGGATTTTTTGTTTGTTTTGTTTTTGTTTTTCAAGACAGAGTTTCTCTGTGTAGCTTTGCGCCTTTCCTGGAACTCATCCTGTAGCCCAGGCTGGCCTCGAACTCACAAAGATCTGCCTGCCTCTGCCTCTTGGGTACTGGAATTAAAGGTGTGCTCCACTATTGCCCGGCTTGTTCATTTGTTTGGTTTTTAGTTTTTTGAGACAGGGTCTTTCTGTTATGTAGTTTTGGCTGTTCTGGAGCTCACTATGTAGATCAGGTTGGCCTCAAACCTGAGATCAAACTCACAGAGATCCACCTGCCTCTGTTTTATGAGTGCTGGAATTAAAAATGTGCACCACCATGCATGACCGTGCTTTAATGATTTTATTTAATGTATGCAAAAATACATTGGTTCCAAGTCATTAACATATTTGACATTTTTATTGCAAAGATTAAGCCAAAGCTTTATTCTAAACCTACATAAAGAAATTTAAATGTTCATAGCAGCATTGTTACATGTAGTTGGTAATGTTCATTATATTCACTATGATAAGAGAACTCTGAAAAAGTTAGCTAAAGAAAAATATCTTCAAAGTGTCTGGAGTTGTATCAATAAAAGAACAAAGAAATCAGAGGGTACAGAAATTACAAATACTCATCATTTGATATTCTTTTCCTTTGAGACTACCAGAAGTAACTCTTTTCTAAATAATAAGCAATAATGATAAAATATATGATCTATGTGTTGTATTTTTTCTTAAGGCAAAAATGTTTTTGACCTTATAGAGAATGATTCTGACTTGTACAATATTTAATTCTTTTTTCTGAAACAGGACCCCAATTTAAGCCATCATTTGAATAGAATTCATGATCTGAATGAATTTTTCTTTTAGCACATAGTCAGGGAAATTTCAGGTGAATGTCCTTTGTATTAATCAGCTTTCCATTCCTATGACATGTTACTTGAGATGATCTACTTTAAAAGCATAAAAGTTGCTTGAGAGACAGCTTAGTGGTTGTGAACACTTACTACTCCTAGAGATAACACAGGTTTAGTTACCAGCCCCCACATCAGAGGGCTCACAACTTCTATAACTCCAGTTCCAGGATGCCCGATGCACTCTTCTAGCTTCCTTGGGCACCTGCATATACGTGGTATATCTACATTCATGCAGGAAGGTGCACAAACATGCACGTAAGTAAAATACATTTTTGAAGTGGAAGGGTTAACTTTGTCTTGTTGTTTAGAGTTTTCAGTCCATGATCCCTTGTCCTCATTGCTTTGGGCTTGTGATAGAGCATCATGGGAGATATATGGTGTCTGCTCACCTCATGGTCTTTGGGAAGCAAAGAGTGAAAGGGAGCAGAGACCAGAGTCCCGGTATCTCTTTTAAGGCCATTCCACTGCTCACCTGAGCAACCAACTTCCTTCCAAGAGGCTCCCTTCTAAAGATTCCATAGTGCCTGATAGTACAGTAATAGGATGGTAACTAAGCCTTAAAACACAGGCCTTTGGGGGAAACTCCAGACCTAAACTGTAACATTATTTATAAGGAATTGATAACATAAAATATTAATTTTCAACATGTCAATGACAGCAGCAAACTTTTACACTCAAGCATAAAAGATACTGTAATACTAAATTTAAAACTAACGATTCTTTCATAGAGGTCAGGCTTTATAATTTCCCTGTATATTTGTTTATCCAGTATATTCCCCATGAAGACAGAGCTTTCCTCTGTTTTATTTACAGCTATAATTTTGCTGCATATTATAATGGGATAAATAAATGCATTTTAATGTATATGAATATCGTAAGAAAATAAAATTATATCTTTGTGATGTTCAATTTCAGACCTGACTGGGCCACGTAATACCCAGATACTTGATCAGAGATTATTCAGGTTATACAGTGAATATTTTTGGGTGAAATCAACATTGAAATTTTTTTTTGTTTGGTTTGGTTTGGGTTATTTTTTATTTTGTTTTTTTGAGACAGGGTTTCTCTATGTATCCCTGGCTGTCCTGAAACTCACTCTGTAGATAGATCCACATGCCTCTGCCTCCCGAGTGATAGGATTCAAAGCATGTGCCACCACTGCTCTGCAACATTGAATTCTTTTATGCTGAGTAAAGATGATTTTTTTGTCAAGTATAATTGAGCTTTATCCAATCTCTTGAATGCCTGAACAGAATAAAAGGATTGATTATCTTGAGCATAAGAATTTTCTGTTATGACTGGATTTGAACTTGGACATTGTCTGTTTCCTCCCTTCTGACTTAATTGAAGCATCAGCTTGTCCCAGGACTCCAACCTGTCAGCCTTCAGATTGGAATTACACCTTCAGTTGTCTTGACCTCAGATGGGCTTGCAGACATGACTCTTGAAATCTTGAAAACTCACTCTGCAAGGCTTTAGGGTTCGTCAGCCTCCACAACTGCTTTGAGCAAGCTTCTTGCAATAATTCTTAACGTACTTATAAACACACACGTAGTGTTTTAATTTTAATATCTTAAAGGATGCTTTGCTCTAGATAAGCATAAGTAGTTCTTTTTTGTTTCCATTTTTTAAAATGTGTTTATTTTTATTTTATATGTATGGATGTTTACCTACGTGTATGAATGTGCACCATGTGAGAACCTGATACCCACATAGATCAGAAGAGGGTGTCAGATCCCTTGGAACTGGAGTTACAGAAGGTTGTGAGCCTCCATGTACATGTTGGGAACCTAATATGAATCCTCTTCCAAAGTTGCAAGTGTTCTCAGCCACTGAGCCACCTCCCCAGCCCTCTTCCTTTGTTTTAAAGTTGTGATTATTTTTCTTTGGTTTTTGTTCCTTAACCCCAAAATTTACTGAAGTGTAATTGAGAAGTGATAACTGTGTATATTTACCATTAATAACATGAGATATGTGTGTGTGTATCCACAGGGAAATGATTTCCACATCTATGACCTACCATAATTGCCATTGTTAGTGTGGTAAGAACACTTTAGACCACTTTTCTCTTAAGTACCCAATGTAGTAGTTTTAGCTGTAATCTCTATGCGCCCAGAATTTCCTCAGAGTCAAAAGTTTTGTGTATTTGAACCAGCATCTCCCTATTTCTCTCACTGTCCAACCCCAGGTAATCACTGTGTTACTTTCTGCCATAGTGGGTGTTTAGGAGTGTGTTCTAGTGATGTCATATTCTTTTCCACTTAGAACATTATCAAAGACAATACACTGTTGGCACAAAGCCTAATGCTTTTAAGCAATAGTTATACTTTTATAACATGATTTGGTACTTAATTTTGAAATTTTTTTCTGTATAAGTAACCTAGAACAAGTAATTTTTATTTAAATGCCAATTTTGTTTCCAATAATTGAATATTTATCAAGAATATATTCAATAGACCATAAAATTGAATATATGGGATTTAGAGAAGAAACTATCACTTTAAAAAAAAAAAAGCAACAACCATAAATGACAAACTCAAATAAAAACATTTGAGTTGTAATGAACTCAAATAAAAACATGGTAGACACTCAAATACTTGCCCAGTCTTCTCAAGCTCTGTACATTCCATTGAGTATCTGTGAAGTTAGAATGGACATTCTAAAGCTATGGAACTTTGCTAAGGGTTTTACACTTCCAGTGTCAGTTACATTTTTATACATTTACCTACCACAAAAGAAAAGACTGTGCCATAGTTGAACCTAGAAGAAAATTAGCTTTTAGTACCTTTTATGACTCATGTGTCCATTTGCTACCTCTTTTAATAATAAATTTATTTTTTAAAGGAGCAGATGGCTCAGCAGGAGCAAGTGCTTGCTTATAAGCCTGGTGATCTGAGTATCATCCTGGTATTGACATAAAGACAGAAGGAGAAAACCTACTCCACAAAGTTGTCCTCTGAGTGTCATATGCATGCCATGTCACACACTCCACACACACACACACACACACACACACACACACACACACACACACACAAAAATAAAGTAAAAATTACTTTCATTTATTGTAATAGCATTATTTGCATTTAACTATAATCATATCTTTAGATTAGTACTTTTGATTGTTTTAAATAGTATATGTTTAACTTTGTGCTACATAAATACAATTATTTGTAATTCATTTAAAACTTAATTTGTGTGCTTATATTTTATA